TGACTCACTAAGTCCATATAAGTTATTGACCAGGAATAAAATTCCCAGATCCTAGGAGATTAGAAGCAATAAATTGGTGACAGAGGTGGGGTGGGGCGGGGTGAGGTGTGGCCTCTACATTTAAGGCAGTACAAATGACAGCTGATGCGGGAAGATAAGGCAGAAACTAAAGAGCTTATTAGGGAATAACACAGGATGTTAAGACTAAGCTCCAGGTGCCTGGAAGGTCAAATCCTGTGGATGCCTTTGGGCCCAACAAATGCTTGTTTTTTTCAAGGATACATGAAGTTTGTTTGTGAGATGCGCACACAATTCCCAGACAATAAAGCTAATGCTCTAATAATTCTTGAGGGCTAAAATAACTTGTATACAGACGACAGCTTATCTAAATGACCTGAAATAAAAATGACTGACTGTAAATAAGCACTGAAGAACATACAGTACTCACTTGAGCATCACTAATCACCACTCCCAAGGCCACGCATATATCTACAGAGCCTTATCAATTGAGACAATGCTATGGGAGTCCAAAGGCAAGCAGAATAAGACTTTATTACTCCAGCATGAAGTAATAGGAATGCCAGCTTTACTGGTTTCTGTCCCAGGCTCAGGAGGAGTCTTCCCTGCCCTCCCCTGTAGTTCACCCTTTCCTCTTAGCGATATAACAAGGGAGAGGTGATTCCGCGATAAGCTATCTCTTTGAGTTCTAGGCCTTGTATTTACTCTGGTGTCATCCCTTCCTGGGCTGTCCCTTCCCCACAACTAATAGGAGTCCTGAAGCGTCTCCTCTGGTGGCCTCACCCCAGGGTCCAGGCACCTGCAGTGAGCCAGCCTGGCTAGTCCATGGGCCTGCTCAGGAGAGTGTGTATTCCACTATTTACCCATCGGGGTTCCTCCCTGGGATCACGCCTGTCCCTCATGCCTCTGCCTTCATTCTGGGATACCATTCTAACTACGTTCACATGATTTAGAGAACAGAACAGGAGCTTTGGAGCCAGAAACTCCTGCGTTGAATCTTAGCTCCCACACCCAAATTGAACTCTGTGCCTGAGGTCATTTGTCCTTCCCCAGCCTTAGGGCTCTCGAGTGTAATGGAAAACAGCAGTGTGGCGTTTATGAGATGATGTGTGAGAAGGCCCAGCACAAAGCAGGTGCTCCATGGACGCACCTTTCGTTCGTTTCTCTACTTGTAACTGTTGGCCCTGGCTTCTTTATCTCTGGAATGGTTTCTCCCAGCTCTGCTCGGTGACCCCTTTCCATATGTTTTCTGTTGGCAAGAGTCTCTACACTTGAATCATGAAGAGTGTTTAAAAAACCCATCTTGGAAAATGCGGTTATATAGCATTGCCAAACTGTGGTTCTTGAAATAGAAATAACAAGACTGCAAAATATGGCCATGCTTGAGATGGCTGTGGGAAGACAGAGAGGGAGAGAAGAGGGCCTGGGCTCCCCCAGCCTCACTGTTCACCCTCCCAGGAGAAAGTATCACCCAATTGAACAAATGAAAATGTAGAGTGCTCAGTTAAATTTTAATTTCAGATAGATAACAGCAAGGGAAATGCTTCTCTAGCAAAGAAAAGTAGCAGAGAAGGGAAAATAATGATCATGATTGCCAGGGGACGAGGTGGCTGACCCTTCCACCTGGCACCATCAGAGCTTCAGGTTCTTTGGCCAAAAGGGAATTTCTGGTAGAGTCAGAGCTCCACCAGGCCATAAGGTCCTAGAGAAAGCCAGCAGGTGGCAAATACATAGTCGTGATACTTCAACTTTACCATGTTCCTGAGGGTATATGGGTTTCAAAGATCACAGGCATCCTCCACGTCTGCACAAAATCCACCCATCAAATGCTAACTTGTGAGTTTTATTGTATTTTTATTCATTAACATTTTTCTGTAATTTCATTTAATTATGAAATATTTATATATAATCTCCTTTAATATTTAATGTTCCATATTAAATGAAATTAATATTAACTCCATATTAAATATTCCTAAAAATGTCGGAAAAGAGGAGATAAGCCACTCAAACATAACTGCATTCTCTCTTAATTATTTGGATTTTAATTTTCTGTTTTAACAAGAAAAAAGGGTGATAAAATTCACAGGAAAATGCACATATGTTACTTTACAAACTGAGTATCATTCCCATGGGATTATTGTGGCAACTTCTCAAATAGACTCCCTCCTTCTGCCCAGCCAGTCTCTTCTCCACCCAGCAGCCAAAATAATCCTTCTAAAAAACAAGTCAGATCACATTGCTTCCCTGCTCAGAATCCTCCAGGGCCTTCCTACCTCATTCCGTGTGAGGGTGAGTCTTTCCAACAGCCGTCAAGGTCCTAAGGGACTAGACTCCCCCTTCCTCCTTCCCCTCTGATGCCTTCGCAGCACCAGCCCCAGTGGCACTGCCCACCAGGCCTTGCCCAGGACGTCCTTGTGCTCCACCACACCCCTCTGTCAGGTCTGTGCTCCAAAGCCAGTGTCTCCAAACACCTCTCTGGCCATGCTTTCTAAAATCACATTCCCAGCCCGTCCTATCCCCTCCCTGCCATGGGTCCCCATCAACCTCCTGCACATTTCACTTTGGTTATATATTTTGTGTCTCTCCACTAGCATGCAGGGCAAGATTTGGCACTTTGTTCCCTAGGATGCCCAGTATGCACAGGGCACACGGTACACGTGTGCACTCAGTAAAGTTATTTACTAAATGCTGGAGAAACCTAAGATAAAGAAAATTATGACAATCCCTTTGGAAAGAAATATGAATAATCCTCAAATACCATGGAATACTATTCAGCCATTACAAAGAAGGAGCCTCAAAGCTACAAATGCTGGTATGGATGTGGAGAGAAGGGAACACTTTTATACTACTGATGGGACTGCAAACTAATATGAGCTTTTTGGAAGGAAGTATGGAGAATCCTCAAATAACTCAAACTAGACCTCCCATTTGATTCTGCAATCCCATTACTAGGCATCTACCCAGAAAAAAAAATCATTTTATCATAAGGACATTTGCACTAGACTGTTTATTGCAGTTCAATTTACAATTGCCAAATTGTAGAAGCAACCTAAATGCCCACCAACCCAGGAATGGATTAACAAGCTGTGGTATATGTATACCATGGAATACTATACAACCACTAAAAAAGATGGTGACTTTATATCTTTTGTATTAACCTGGATGGAGGTTGAAACACATACTTCTTAACAAAGTATCACAAGAATGGAGTAGCAAGAATCCAATGTACTCAATTCTGATACGAGGACAACTGATGCTAGTACATGATAGGGGGAGGAGAAAGGGGGGAGGGGAGAGAGGAAAGAAACAGAGGGGTACAATCAACACACAGACACGTTGTATCATAGAAAAGAAAACTCACATTTGCCTTTGTTAATCTAATAAATACAATTATAGCCACATTAAAAAAAAGAAACAGGGGTGGGGGTTTACAGTGTGTGACACATCTTTTGGGGGTGGCACACAATTGTAAGAGGGACTTTACCTAACAAAAACAATGTATCCTGGTTCTTTGTACCCTCAATGATTCCCTTACAGTAAAAAAAAAAAGAGAGAGAGATGGAACCTTTACATCTTTCGTATTAACCTGGATGGAGTTGAAACACCTTCTTTTTTTTTTTTTTTAGAGACAGAGTCTTACTTTGTGGCCATTGGCAGAGCTGTGCTGTCACAGCTCACGGCAAACTCCTGGGCTCAAGAGATTCTCTTGCGTCCACCTACCAAGTAACTGGGACTACTGGTACCCACCACAACACTTGGCTACTTTTTAGAGACGGGGGCTCACTCTTGCTCGGGCTGGTCTCGAACCCTTGAGTTCAGGCAATCCACCCACTTCAGCCTCCCAGGGTGGCTAGAATTACAGTCATGAGCCACTACGCCTGGCCTGAAACACATTCTTCTTAGTAATATATCACAAGAATGAAGAAGCAAGTATCCTACTTACTCAATACTAACGTGAAGGCTCGGTGCCTGTAGCACAGTGGTTATAGTGCCAGCCACATACACCGAGGGTGGTAGGTTCAAGCCCGGACTGAGAAAACTAAACAATAATAGCAACGGCAACAAAAAATAGCCGGGCATTGTGGGAGTCACCTATAGTCCCAGCTACTTGGGAGGCTGAGGCAAGAGAATCGTTTAAGCCCAAGAGTTTGAGGTTGCTGTGAGCTGTGACGTCACAGTACTCTACCAAGGGTGAGTGAGACTCTGTCTCAAAAAAAAAAGAAACTAATACGAAGCCAGTAGACAAACTAATACATGCCTACACAAGAGAAAAACTTAATTCAAGTTGAGGGGAGGAGGAAGGAGGATTATTCCTACCACATGGGCACAATGTAAGGGTGTATGGCCCACCTCCTGGGGGAGGGACACCCTACAACAGGGACCTTACCCAGCACATGCAAACAGTGAAACCTAATCGTTTGTAGCCTTGCATTAATCTGAAAGTAAAAAAACGAGAAAGAAAGAAAAACAAACTTGGAAAGTGTTAACAAAAAGACAACGATGAGCTAAATGAGGGTAAAATATATTACCTGAAAGGCAAACAACAAATAAATGTCGGGTTTCTTCAAGACATCAGGGGTGAAACCAGCCCTCCCCCGAAGCCCCTCACTTGCTTTCTTCCTTTCCTCGCCAATGACAAAGAGCCAGGATTTTCCTATTTCAGATATTTCATATTCAAAAATGCAGGACAGAGCAATTTTATCCTTGGAATTTTATAAGTGACCTGGATGAAGGAAGTTCATATTTGCCTGCAGTAGCATCCTTTCAAAGAGCATCCCAAGTCTCTCCCCACAGGCTAAGAATAGTCAAGCGATTCCAGACTAAGAACGTGCTTCCCAAGGAGTTTCTGCACAACAGGCATTTAACAAAAGCTGCTGATGACAAAGATCACATCCATCCATCACCCTTTTAACAGAAGTTTGGCTGAACGCCCTTTAAATGCGAGGCCTACCAAAACCAATGTGCCAACCAGAACACCTTACCTCTCGGCAGAGTCTCCGATGAGCTGCTGCAAGTCCACCTCCTGCTTCCTCAGGGTTCCAAAGGAAGACTGGCTCTCCCTGAGGCCTCTGGCGCCGATGTTCAGCTTCACCCTGCCCAGCGCTGTCTCGATGGCCCCACTCACCTGGTTTTCGAACTTGCCCTCATATTTCACAAAGTCTGACTCCACGACCACTGGGATGAATGAGACAAGCAGAGGAATCTGAGGAGGAGGCAGTCAGCTGTGTCTCAGGTCACCTAACTTTCCAAGGGACCCCAGGATGCAGAAGGCTGGCATTCGGACTGAGAGTGGGCAGCCACATCACGTGGATGGGCAAGAAAATTAGCTCAGCCCACCTGTGCACACACTGAGGACACACTGTGACCTGAGGGCCAAGGCTCCCCTGGTGCCTTTTTACTCTCCCATTTTTTAATTCCAGTAGGTAGACAACGGTGCATGAAAAACATCTGTATAGTTTAACAATTTTGCAGTGAACATCTGTTGTCTTTGTGTAGAAACAGAACATTTTAAATGTCTGATTTTCCAGGGTGAAGACAGCAGAGGGACTAGAATTAAACAGATTTAAAACAGAGCATTGTAAATGTCTGCTTTTCCGGGTGAAGATGGAAGAGGGACAGTTTTGGTTAAGTGGCAAAGGCTTCCCAGGTGTGTAGTGAGAGGACCACCATCCTCCACCCCTGGCCCGTCAGCCACCTGCACCTGCCGTGGGCGTCTTTCCTTCCCACCCACCAGCCTTGGAGCCTTGGTTGTTGGCCCTCACCATCCTCTCCAATCAAATACACCCTTCCCACATTCAGGTTTTTATATCTGATCCCTACCCCGGCACTCAATCCCTTATCTCACAACTCTTTATCTCTGACTTTCTGATAAAGTCAGAGGACAGGCCCTTCCTATCTGAACCCTAATGATAAGGTCTGAAGATCTTTCTGGATGGCCAGCCTTGTCATCGCTCCAAGTTTCTACTGTTCTCATTTTTAATCCAACCAAAACCACCATAAAAAATGGCCTCTATCATTACCCTGTGGCAAAGATACATTAAGAGTGTATAGGGCCCAAGCATGATGACTCACTCCTGTAATCCTAGCACTTTGAGAAGCAGAGAGAGAAGGATCACTTGAACTCAAGAGTTTGTGGCTACTGCGATCTACGATGACACCACGGCACTCTAGCCCAGGCAACAGAGTGAGACCCTATCTTAACACATTGTTGACAGGTCACAAGTTAACTCATGCTTGTACTCCCATTAGCTATTGCAATTTCTAAAACACCAGGAAATGTAGGATATCATAAAAGTTTTCTTAATCATGTCACTGTGACATGGGATCACTTTTGTGTAAAATGGTCAGTCAAAAATGTGTTTTAAAAAGAAAAAGTCTGGTAGGAACTTCAACCTTGGTCTCTTCGATTTCCCTGAGCCAAGGCTCTCCTGGGTGCAGGTTGTACTTCACAAGTGATTCAAACCCACCTAGTATCAGAAAGGCTTCTTTCCATCCACTCACTGTCCCACCACCTACATCTCACCTCTATATCTTTCATTCCAATGAAGAAGTCTTTAACCAGAGTTAATGAGAATGAATCACCATCCGTTGTCTTTGCAAAATGAAGAATAATCCCTACCACCAACAGAAATAAGAAGGCTGTGAAAAAGCCCTCAATTCAAAGCTTTTCCTGTTAATATCTTGTGGAAAAACACTTAGAGAAATGCTTTGGTAAATAGGATAGAGCAGATACTAAGAGCTTTAGGTTATATCCCTATTCTAGTATAACTAACTGGGATACTTGGGTAAAATTCATCTTCCTGAAAAATACACAATTTAGAGATCATTAACGGATCCTACCTGATGGATTTTGTTGTAAGCTGGTATATGTAAGGCATGAAAAACAGAGCCTGGCGCACAGCAGGGCTCAATCTATCCACTGGCTTGAGGCCAGAGCAACATCATTTTCTGATAAACAGGACAGTGCTATGTTTTACAAAGTGCGAAAAGATAGATATTCTATCTGCAGGACACAGTTCTGGCCTCAGTCAGCTTAATACTGCTTAATGCCACTCTTGGCAACTCTCTCCCAGACAGGACTCCACAGCAGGTAGGGACACTCAAGAGTTTATCTACGTATTCCCAGACTCTAGAAGAGATGTCATTTGTGTACACTTCTGGATTGTCACCAACTGCTGCTGGTGGAAGGGAAGAAATGAGGGAACCAACAGGCTACAGTGTAGACTGCCAGCAACCAATCCACCACCCTCCTGCCTGCAGGTCCCTGGACAACACACAGGTCAGTGTTGTAAGTAGCAAAAAAAAGGCAAAGGTAAAGAATCCTGAGCCTGTTCAGGACACTTCTCATCACAGCACCAACACCAACAGGACACGGAATCCAGGCTGAGCTCCGACCTTAGAGGATCAGCACATCTGGGGAGTCTCCACACTCTTTACACTAATTAAGAGGTATTTTAACATCTAAGCTTAGTGAAATTCCAATCACTCTGGGGTCCCTTGTCTATTTTATAAATTTTCCATTCTCTTGTTCCTCTTCATATTTAGTTCTTTTACCATTCAATAGAATTTCCACCAGAAATGCACAAATTCTGGTAGGGATGGAATGCCTTAATATTAATGTCAACTCATTCACCATTGCTCCTATAAGCTAGTAGAAGACAGAATGCTTATCTGGAAGACAGTCTGGAGATATTTTTGTAAACTCAAATTATATCCTCTATCTCTTTTCTCCTTTAACAAAGATTCGATCATAAAATTAGAGAACTTCAGAGCTGAAAGGGAACTCAAACATCATTTTGTCCAATAGTTAAGCCTGGATGGCCAGGTGTGGTAGCTCATGCCTATAATCCTACCACTTTCGGAACCTGAGGCAGGAGGATCACTTGAGGCCAGGAGTTTGAGACCAGCCTAGACAATAGAGTAAGACCCTATCTCTACAAAAAATAGAAAAATGAGCTGGGCATGGTAGCTTATACCTGTAGTCCCAGCTAGTCGGGAAGCTGAAGTGGGAAGAGCACTTAAGCCCAGGAGTTTAAGGTTTCAGTGAGCTGTGATGCCACTGCACTCTAGCCTGTGTGACAGAAAGAGACACCACCTCAAACAAACAAACAAACAAACAAATAAGAGTTGATATTTTCACATATTCTCATGCCCACAAAGTAATACAGCAAAGAGTATACACATCGTCAAAAAGTTCCCAATCTCTGGTCTCATGATTCTATCATTAAGAATTTATGCTAAAGCAAAGCTAAAAAAATAACAAAAATGCAAACAAAATGTAGCTGTATTTATTAAGCGCTAAATTAGAACAGGTAACCAAATTAGGGTATACACAACGGAATATGATGTGCTCACTAAAAATAGTATTTAAAATATTTAAGTCTCTGGAGGAAAACTTAGATATGGTTAAAAATAAATAAGGAATATATATAAATTGGCCGTAGTATGTTTCCAATTTTGTTATTTAAAATTGGATGCAGTCCAGGCATGATAGCTCATGCCTGTAATCCTAGCAATGGGAGGCCAAGGTGGGAGGATTGCTTAAGGTCAGGAGTTTGAGACCAGACTAGGCAAGGGTGAGAAATTTAGTAGAAATTACCAAAAATAGAAAAATTATCCAGGCACAGTGGTTGGCACCTGAAGTCCAAGCTACTCAGGAGGCTGAGGCAGGAGGATCATTTGAGCCCAGAGTTTGGGGCTGCAGTGAGCTATGACAACACCATTATACACTAACCCTCACCCCATGACAGAGCAAGACTCTGTCTCAAAAAAAAATAAAAATGGATGCAGAGAATAAAAAACTGCAGTCCAAGTGTTAATTGGAATGAATATGATGGTAGGATTTTGTTGATTTTTAAATCTTCTTCATCCTTTTCCACATTTTTATACTCTGTTAATGCACATGACTCCATTTTTGATGCTTGACTGTTGTTGGCTTTCAAGCCCTAATCCTCCTCCTCTCTCTGTTGCACGCCAGGGCAAGCTGATAAGACAGCCCAGGTGCTCTATCCATGGGTGCCAGTGAAAGGTCAAACTACATATGCCCCAGCTCTTTTGCAGGGACCTCGCCCATCTCCACTTACTAATCATAAGAAAAGCTGAGTCCATCTCCTTATCCCCCTCTCTCAAGCCCCTTTGGGACCAGCTTTAGAGCCTCTGCCCTGCTCTACCTAGAAGGCATCATTATGTGAGTTACAAAACTTTCGCTTCCACTTGATGCCTACAAGCCATCATCAAACTCAACATCAAACCAAATTTGAGGTGGGGGAGTCACCCCACTTATTCTGAGTGGCCACAACATTTACAAATGGCAAGTCTTACTTTTGTACCAAAACTGGAATTTATTTTCAGATGAGACCGGGCGCATTCAGGGTGTTATGGCAATAGACTGCAAAATTATCTTCAAAAGATTAAGCTCTAAATTTTCATGTCGGGCCTGAAGAATTTTGTTCATTTTAAGAAAGGATATGTTTTAAAGGCAGGAAGGCAAAGAAACAAGAATTCATCATAAGGTGTGTAGACAACTTGAGTTTAAAAGAAGAATCATCTTTGCTTCTGCGACTAATTGTGGAATATACCCACAGGAACATACCTGGACTCAGAAATGGGTCTTCTGTGAGTACATCTCCAAGAGAAATAGATAAAAACTGGTACTTGGGTCGTTGCCAGCACCAGAATCTCTTCTTTTTGGTCACCAGACTTAGAAGTTGTAATTTATCAGAGTCATTCAAATTTGATACTGCAATCAGGTTGCCGCCAGCATCAACTTCTCTAAGGAAATTCCTTGTTGCTTTGGCAAACATTTTGAAATCTCCAGATTACCTGAAAAAATAAAGTTAGCCCCAAATCAAATAAGAAGTTGTTATTATTAGTTTCCCTAAAATTATTTTATTTCTCCCTAGTCTCCCTAGGAGACAAGACCCTCCCGTTGTGAGTTCAGCTGAGAAAGAAGTCAGATTGAGATATTGAAAGAGCATATGTGTTCCAGTCAGGATAGGTTAGAGAACTTGAGAATCAAACAACCCCACAATCTTAGTGGCTTGTAACTATAAAGGTTTATCTGTTGCACATACTACACGTCCAATACAGAGGGACAGGAGAGCTTTATTACCATATTTCCCTGAAAATAAGACACTGTCTTATATTTATTTTTTCTCAAGAAGACACACTAGGGCTTATTTTCAGGGGATGTCTTCCTCTCCACACTGAAATGCAGGGCATGGCTATGCAGATACGCTGCATAGCCACACCCATCACTAGGTCTTATTATCGGGGTAGGGCTTATATAACTAATGCATAGAAATCCTGCTAGGGCTTATTTTGGGGGTAGGTCTTATTTGGGGGGAAACACGGTAGTTTTTCAGAGATGCAGACTGAATGGGAAGCTACCATCTTGAACACTATCAAGTCATTATGAACAGGAAAGAGAGTTCTGGAAACCTTCAGACCAGCCTTAAATACACTGGCCCAAAAGACACTTGTCAGAACTGGGCCATGGCCTCAGCCAACCATGAGGACCAGGAATACAATCCTACCAAAAATCTGGTAGGAAGAACAACATACTGACTCCAATAGGTAGCTCACTTAAGACTATTTCCTAAAGAGTCAAAAGTGCTTTCTCTCTACTCTGTGGCATCTCTCCTTTGCAGAAATGAAAACTACCTATGACTTTTTAACCCAGAAATGAAGGCATGGTCATACTTTAGCTAGAGGGAAAAAGAAGAACGAGACACCTTAGAAGATAGAAAAATACTATGTTCAGGGCAAGAAGTATAGAATTTTTAATAAATGGTATTGGAATAATGGAGTAATCATCTGGAAAAAATTAAGTCTGATTCTTCTTTCACATCATACACAAGAACAAATTGTCAATGGATCACAAGTTTCTTTAAGGAAAAATTAAACTCTAAAAGTACTAGAAAAAAAGCAGACATTTACACAATTTTAGAATGAGAAGGGCCTTGAGAAAGACAAAGGGCAAACTGAGAAGAATACTCTTAATACTCATGACAAAGAACAAGAATACTTAGTACATTAAAAAAACTTGCACAGGCTTGGCGCCTGTAGCTCAGTGGTTAGGGCGCCAGCCACATACACCCGGGCTGTTGGGTTCAAACCCAGCCCAGGCCTGCTAAACAACAATGATAAGTGCAACAAAAAAAAATAGCTGGCCATTGTGGCCAGTGCCTGTAGTCCCAGCTACTTGGGAGGCTGAGGCAAGAGAGTCACTTAAGCCCAAGAGTTTGAGGTTGCTATGAGCTGTGACACCATAGCACTCTACAGAGGGTGACATAGTGAGCCTCTGTCTCAAAAAAAAAAAAAAAAAAACTTGCACAAATCAACTTTTAATATACTTTCTCCAGTAGAAAGATGGACAAACATTATAAACAATTCATAAAATACAAACTGCACATAGCCAAACACACACATATATATGTGTGTGTGTATGTATGTATATATAGATGTAGATATAGATATATAATTTAAAAATTTATCACGTGCCAGGCATTGTACCTCATGCCTATAATCTCAGCACTCTGCGAGGCTGAGGCAGATAGATTGCTTGAGCTTGGTTGTTCTAGTCCTGCCTGAGAAAGAGACCCTGTCTATACTAAAAAAAATTTTAAAACTAGCCAGACATCATAGAAAAAAAAAAAAAACTAGCTGGGTGTTTTTGGCAGATAGCTATACTCCCAGCTACTCCAGAGGCTGAGGCAGAGGATTGGTTGAGTCTAAGAGTTTGAGGTTGCTGTGAGCTGTGACCCTATAGCACTCTACCTAGGGCACGGAGTAAGACTCTGTCTCAAAAAAAAAAATTATTACATACAAAAAGACAAATTGTAATAACATTGTCTTAAAACTATCCAGGGTCAAAAGTTGAAAGGCCAAATTGACAGGAACTGTGTTTTATATGTATTCATACCCCAGCTCTTGGCACACTCACATAATCACACTGCTCTCTTAGAATTTAAGAGCTGAGGCCTGGGCAACATAGCAAGACCCTATCTCCACACAAAAAAATTTTAAGTTAGCCAGGCATGCCGACAAGCACCTGTGGTCCAAGCTACTTGGAAGGCTGAGGGAATAGGATCCCCTGAGCCAAGGAGTTCAAGGTTGTAGTGAGCTATGATCATACCACCACACTCCAGCCTGGGCAACAAAACAAGACCCTGTCTTAGGCTTGGTGCCTATAGCTCAACCGGCTAAGGCGCCAGCCACGTACACCTAAGGTGGCGGGTTCGAATCCCCAGCCCGGACCCGCCAAAACAACAATGATGGCTGCAACCAAAAAATAGCCAGGCGTTGTGGCGGGCGCCTGTGGTCCCAGCTACTTGGGAGGCGGAGGCAGGAGACTCGCTTGAGCCCAGGAGTTGGAGGTTGCTGTGAGCTGTGATGCCACGGCACTCTGCCCAGGGGGACAGCTTGAGGCTCTGTCTCAAAAAAAAAAAAAAAAAAAAAAAAAAAAACCCCTTTTTTTTTTAAAAAAAAAAAAAAAAGCCACCTTACACCTTACACGACCTTCCTTGTTCAATCTACTTTCTTTATGAATATCTCCTCTAGGGCACTAGAAATCATTTGCCTTAATTATCACTAGCTCTTCTCAAAAGTACTTTTTCTTAGGTTATTTTATAAAGCTGTAGATACCTGACCCTGTTCTTATATATTCTTATTTCTTACAAGGTAGAATGAACATTTAAGGCAGAAATTCTAAAATATGCAAGGAAGAAGGATAACTAAGTATGCTCAGGCTGTCATCTCTAATTAATCTCTCACTACCCAGAGCATAAGGACCTCGCATTCAATGGAACACTCACTTACTCATTTACCAAGTCATTAGTTGAATCACTCATTATTTTTGAATATCTACTGCACCAAGCACTGTGTTTAAGCACTTAGGATACAGGGGAAAAAATAATCTCTCTCCTTGATGAGCTATTAGTCTCGTGACTAGACAGAGAAACAGCCAAGTTTTATGCTAGCTATTGGCCTAGATTGCGTCAGAGAAAGAACCAAGAAGAATGCATCTAAATCCCACTGGAGAGTGACACCGGGTCACAGAAGTAGAGAGTATCCAAGCTGCATTCGTAGACTACATAGAAGGTAGGTGAAGAACACGGGAAGGATGCTGTACCCAGGAAGCAGCCATCACAAAAGCGCAGTATTTGCAGCAGTTGGTGGAGGAATAAGGAAGACAGAGCAAGGCGATGTGGTGACACAGAGCAAGGCAATGTGTCACCAGCAAGCTCGTGAGAGCCCAGGGGCCACACTTCCTCAATGACGCTTCCCTGTGGCTTGCCAAGCTCTGGGACTGCCTCATGCACCGGAGCTCAGGGGTCCAGAGTGGGGAAGCACCAGAGACCAGGCTGAGGAGGCCGCCCTGGTCCAGGTCTGGAAGGTCTGGGTCTCCTCTGCAGGGGAGCCAGGGCAGCAGGAGCCGCTGGAGGGCGTATCTAGGGAGCAGTGTGATCAGGATGGTCTTAAGGGAGATCTTCTGGAAGCAAATTAGGAAGTGGACTAGAGAGTGACATAATGACTCTCTGAACTACGTCAGTGGCATAAGGAAAGAAAAGATCCTGGCTTGGTGGTTTTACCAGACTCTGGTTAGATGAGGGCCCCTGATGAGAGAAAGAAGACCCCCTGGCTGTCATCCAGGTGTCCCAGGGTGGGCTGAGTGATGAGATGGAGAAGCCAGTTGCCAAGAGCGGGAATTGTGGGGGGAGCAGAGTGATGGGACCTGGTAAGGCAGTGACACACGAGAATGCCTCTCGGGTAGGGCGGGAGATTTATTTTCCAAAACATAGGGAAAGAACATTTAACAAAATAGGGTCTCCCCAGTCACCTGTGGGAATTCCTCCTGCTGATCCAAGAGAAAAGCCAGCAGGATCTGCCTCAATTTACTGCTAGTGTCAGAATCCTTATTTTCACTGTTTCTATTCTTTTCTGGGACAAGCTGAAGGAGCATTCACTAACTTGCCTTCAGATCAATAGACTTCTATAGAAACCACATCAGGTTTGCTGTTAAAAACAAAATAAAACCCCTCTATTGTGGGGGGCAAAGCTTTAGTAATGATATCCATCCTCCCAAGAGGGATTAGAGGGTAATAAAAGGAAATTCCAAAATTAATTTTTAATTTTTATTTTTCATCTAATATCAAACACAGACTATTTGCTTTCTTGACAAAGCAGGCTGCTTCAGGGAGAGTGACTAGAGGTGGCTGTTGCTTTGCAGGTTTTTATTAGAATCAGGCTTATTCAATTATAGGACTCTTTGAAAATATTCTTGTGAAGTTAAGTATCTACTACAAAAAAGTTTCTTTTTGATTATGTCTGAATATATAATACATTCACATGGCTCAAAAATCTAAAGTATGAGCTCTGTGTGGTGGCTCACACCTGTAATCACAGCACTTTGGGAGGCTGAGGGGGGTAGATTGCTTGAGTTCAGGAGTTTGAGACCAGCCTGAGCAAGAGTGACACCCCGTCTCTAAAAATACTGCCCTTGTATCAGGGGCCTGTAGTCCTAGCTCCTCAGGAAGCTGAGGCAAGAGGATCACTTGAGCCAAGAGTTTGAGGTTGCCGTGAGCTATGATTGCATAGCACTCTACTGAGGGTGATAAAGTGAGACTCTGTCTCGAAAAAAAAGATAAAAAGGAATCAGTCTTAGCAACAGTGTGTCATCAAACATTTGGATTTTTGCCAATCTGATAGGTAAGAAATGGTAGGTTAATTTTATTTATTTAGGTTATGTTATTTTAATGTAATTAAAGTCAAGCACCTTTTTATTTTGTTTAAAGGCTTTTGAATTTCTTTCTTTAA